AGATTTACCCAACACAACTCGTCGTTTGATCCCTTGACTGCGGCTTCTGTGAGTATTGACTGTGGATCTGAGCAAGACAAAATCCTTACATCTTCGACCTTTTCTCCATTGATCATGATGCTGCCCACTTGTCAGTGGTGGGGAGGCTGGTGCACGTTCCATTGAGTTGTGATCCGCACCGAAGGCTGCCATCCTTGATCTTCATCAGCAAGTGATTCGAGTCCTCCTCACTTTCAGCGAGCAAGGTTGGGTCCTCTGCAGATCGCAGGTTGTTCATAAGACTTCCTCCAGTCCTGATGCCACACTCTTCTTCCTATAATCCAGCTTATCTGAAGATTAGCTCGGATACAGATTGAACACGTATGGTGAGAGGATACAACCCTGGTGCACACCTTTCCTGCTTTTAAACCATGCCGTATTCCCTCGTTCAATGAAAAAACAGGTCAGTAACATAGATGTCAATTGTAACACTCCCCTTACTTCACGATCATCCTTTATATATAGGGGTGCTTCTGTTCAATTCCATTTCCCTGTATTTCTCCCTGCCCCCTCTTCTTTAATGTCCCCTCTATCAAGTTCACTGTCATGACAGGGTGGGCTTACAGGGGATTCCCAGGATGAACATTCAACCTCCCAACCACCCCACTTGCTCTTTAATGCCAGGTCAACGTGCCTCCCTCTGAAACTATTGGCCCAACAGCTTAATCAAAACTGAACTGTTCGCCGTCCATTGCATTCTGACTCATTGGACGTAGGACATCCTGTAGGGCAGAGGAGGGCTGCTCCACAGAGTGTCCTACACCGTCCTACACATGAGCCGAAGGCCACAGCTTTCTCCGTGCATCAGCTGGTGGTCAGCAGCCCAGTGGCCACTCCCATGGAGCACCAGGGCTCCTGGAACCAAGTTATCCAAACTCAAACCCAAACTCACTGCCGTCGAGGTGATGATGGTTCCCGATAACCCTATAGGGCAGCGCAGAAAGGTCCCTGTGGGTCTACGACGCTGTCAGTCCTTGAGGGAGGTAGAACGTTTCATCTCTCTCCCTGGGATCAGCTGGTGGTTTCAAACTGCTGACCTCGCGTTAGCAGCCCAACACGTCACCACTCCTCCAAGTCCTGTGACCATCAGCATAGTCTTCACCACCATGACTCTTCTTGGCTCCACCTGCAGGTTTTTAAATCAGGGGTGGGGTGGGGGAAGCCCTGGGCCTTTTCTTGCATGAAAAAAAAAAATCACTCCCAACTCACTGCTACTGAGTCAATGCTGACTCATTGTGACCCCGTGGGACAGGGTACAAGCATCCCTGTGAGTTGACGAGACTGTAGAGACAGGAGTAGAAAGTCCCACCTTTTTTCTGCCCAGCAGAGGTGCTGGTGGTGCTCAAACTGCTGACCTTGAGGTTTGCAGCCGAACACACAAGCCGCAAAGCCATAAGGACTTCTTGAGCCACCAGGCTGACTAAGCCCCATGCACCACTGCTCCAGCTTACCTGCAAGGGCTCAGAGGCAGAGTAAGGAAAGGGTCCCCTGTCTACAGCGGGGGGCTCCGTGGACTGAGAAAGTGAAAGTACGCATACCACGCCAGGTTCTCCCCTTCTTTCCAGGATAACAAACCTGCACGGAACGACTCGTCTGTCATTTGAACGTTCTTCATGGAAACAACACAGTGACACTTGTTACCTGTCTCCATTGGTCGATCATTTCCGCTGCCCAACTGGTGGTGTCGGGTCGGACTGCTAACCACAAGGTCAGCTGTTGGAAACCGCCAGCAGCCCCGTGGGAGAAAGACGGGACTCTCTACTCCCATAAAGAGTTTCAGTCTGGGAAACCCACAGGGGCAGCTCTACCCTGTCCTGTAGGGTTGAAATGAGCCATCATTGTTTCAATGGCAGCGACTGATTCAGTTCCCAAAAGTTTCCCCTTTCTTAACTGTGAGCGGAAACCAGCTTCCAACAACCGAAGGGCCAGGTAGACTAGAGAAACAAATTCACACAGACACTCACATGTGTATAAGAAAGAGCTTTATACACAAGAGCTGTTGAATATTGAGAAAACATCCCAGCGGTTAATGGGGGCAGTGGTGGGGTGTGTGTTTTAGGGCTACCAAAACACCCCCAAGTCTATAAACAGCAGGAGGTTCTAATAGGATTACCAGCACAGAACACGCCTATCCAGCACCCCGCCCAAACCATCATTAGTGCCTCCCTCTCTCTCTCTCTCTCTCTCTCTCTCTCTCTCTCTCGCTCTCTCTCGCTTCCACTTCTCTCCATTCCCCATTGTTCCTCGTGCGACTATGTCAGCCATGGTGTTGAGACAGCTCCCCTTCCAGGCTTTCAAAGATTTCCTCCTTCTTGCCTTACACCCTGGGCAGTTCATGGGGTCCCTATGAGGCTGAATTGACGTATGGTAGCCATTTAAAGCCAATAACATTATCTATTCATCGATTGATTTACTTAGCTATCATCTGTCTACTTCCCTACCTATGCGCACCCACCTACCTAACGTCTATATCTCTATCATCCATTTACCATCTATCTATCGAACTATCTGTCTATCGATCTATTGTTCTATCTATAAATCTTTCGGTCTTCTTATCTATAAATCTACCTACCTACCAGTAAATCTTTCACCATCATCATCTGTCACACTGTGCATATATCAAGTATCTACCTATGTTATATCATCTGTTTTCAGAACACCATTACTGCTGTCTCCCAGCCTGGAAAATGCTGGTGACCAGTAGTACTGCTTCGATGCTATACTATGAATCCAGGGTGATTTATGCGGCACAGAACCAGACAGACATGGTCTGTTAGGGTGACAAATATGAAGGCAGTGAGGATCTCTGGTGGGTCGCTGGGTCAACGGGTAAGCACACCAACTCCACGATCAGCAGTGAGACTCTAATGGCATCTCCACAAGAGAATGACCTGGCCAGTTTGTTCCCATAAAGACCATAGCCTAGGGCATTCTGGGGACAGTTCTATGTGGTCACACGGGGGTCATTCTGAGTTAGACGGTTCTACGTGATCACATGGGGGTCACGGTGAGTTAGAACAGTTCTACTTGGTCACATGGGGGTCCCTGTGAGACAGAACCCTCTTGTAGACGCCTAACAACCACAGTTGCATAATGTCTGAGAAGTTTCATGATTCCTTTTCTGCAAACGTGGTTCCGTTTGCTTATTTTTAACCGCACTATCGCACTGGAGAAATTCTGCTCTGCCCCAAGGACAGAGGTCCCTATTTCTACTATTGTGTTAGACAGGGTTCCCTAGTGAAACAAAACCAGGACACGTCTGATTTTGTAGATATAGATATAGATATATATCACGTATAGATATATATCATGTATAGCTATATATCACGTATAGATACATGTCACATATAGATATATATATCATGTGTAGATATATAGAACATGATAAATAAACAGCTAATTAGTCCGCAGAGCAGTATAGAGGACTCAGTTCAACTCACTTCCATGAGACAAGTTAATACACTGGCAGTCCTTCAACTCACGAGGGCTGCGGGTCCAAGTCAAGGAAGCAGACAGCTGAGTCTTCCGTAGAGCAACACAGGCAGTCCAGCCACAGGCAGCAAACAGCAGGGCAGGTCACCAGCAGCCAGTCAGATGACAGGGTCTGACAGTCCCCAGCTCAAGTGATGTACACACCAGCAGTGTGTCAAAGCAGGTCTCAAAGGAACCTCAAACTATAGCAACACGGTCCCCGGGTTGGATGTCCCACAGGTAATGTAGCTCGCAAGTGGAGGCAGAGAGCTAGCTAAAGCAGGTCCCATCAGCAGAGAGCAAGAGACAAGAAAGGCGAGGCTCCCCGAGCCATTGATCTCTTTGCCTTATTCAGTTAAACTGCAACCTTATGAACCCCACATGCGATGATTGGCCAGGCTGACACAATAAACCTACCTATCACAGCTATACACACAATTTTCTGTCAATACCCATCGAAGCAGGTATCTCAGTGCACTACGAATTAAACTTCGTCTAGTACTATTGATTAGATGATTGGTATATTGCGTGCATTTTGGTCAGAACAGTCTCAGATGACTAAAAGAAGAGGAAGTGGTGTTTCTGCGTTCTTTGAAAGTCAGGGTGCAGGTGTGTAAGCTGACGATGAACTTGGGTGGAGTTCCACAAGAAAGGTTAGGTCAGCGGTTCTCAACCTTCCTCAGCCCGCGACCCTTTCATACAGCTCCTCATGTGGTGGTGACCCCCCAGCCCTAAAATTATTTTCGTTACTACTGTATCACTGTCATTTTGCTACTGTGATGAATCGGGTGACTCCTGTGAGAGGGTCGTTTGATCCCCAAAGGGGTCACGACCCACAGGTTGAGAACCGCTGGGTGAGGTGTAGTGGAAATAGAACCAGGGTTTGAAATTATGGCAGTCTGGCAATAAATAGGGGTTATTCAGGGAATACCACAGGTGCGGGAGGGCAGGATGCAATCCCTTTGAAGGAAGAAATTAATTCCCAAGGAAAGAAGCAGGAGGAGGGGGGAGAATTTGCCCATTCAGGAGCACTCCGTTTTTTTAAAAAAAAAACTGTTTTATTGGGAGCTAGGACATATATCATATCGTTCCATTATTCAATCACATGAAGCAGTGTTGTACAATCCGTTTAGAACCCTTTTTTCCTTCTCAAACTCCACGACATCAGCTCCCTTTAACCCCACCCCCACCACTACCACCACCGTACCCCCTAGGAGCCCTTATTCTACTTGTGGGCCCTATAGGTTTATCAATGCTGGGGTGAATACTCTGAAAAACAGAAAACCATAGCACAACAGCAAGACTCCAAGGACGAAATACATCTGCGATAAAACTCAGTGTGAACAAAGAGAAGCAAGCAAAGAGAAATACCAAATATGTTGAAAAACCAGATCAGGCCCAACGTGCATCAGAGAGGGGGGATCGACTGTCAAGGTGTTAACCGTTCGAGTCAGGTTTACCAGTTTGATCTTCTGTAGTCATCTCTCCCACGCTCTCTGTTTGGTGACTGGTTTCCTCCCGCCCCTAGTATGGAGACATGGAAATCATCAGAGGCTGATTCCCTGTGTCGGTCTTGCAAGTGCATCATGGACTCCCACGGTCACCCACAGCCTTTTAAAATGTGCTCAGGAAACACGGGGGCCTGACCATGAACCAGGCCCGGGAATAGCTTTGTTATCGTGTAGAATGTATCGGAGAGTGGATGGCTGCAGGTAGCTCTGTGTTCAAGGTTAGCAATTTATCATTTGAGCTCCCTTTGACCCATTTTAAATTCGTGCTAGTTTCCAACATTACCTGCTTCCTGTTCGGTTGACAGCTTTATCGGTTTTACTTCGTTATTGTTGTTAACTTTTGTTTTCTCTTGTTTCTTGATGGTTTTCTGGCTATGAAATCCAAGACAGGTAATCTAAAGAGAGAATAATAGGATGAACAGCTCCCTGGGGGTCAAGGCAGGGCAGGCTGGGAGTGGTGGATGCGGCGCCAATCAGGATGGGCACAACAATGGAGAACTTGTCTTACAACTGTTTGTGTGGACGACTGTCCAACTCTCTTTGGTGCACGGTAAGTTAATGAAGCCAATAGAATGGCTTGGTTTGTTTTTTTAAAGAGAAAGGAAATGTTGGAAGCCAACCCACAGCAAGCAGCAAGGTAAACGCACGTGCTGAGACTGTGACGGGGTGTGGGGGTCAAGGGTTGGCCCTGAAGCACACACAGCTGTGACTTATTTTGACCCAGCCCTCCCAGCCGCCCGGGAAGTGGGTGTCCTGGAAGAGGGCAGTAAGAGATTTCCTGCTTCGTTCTGATCACGCTTCTTCTCTGCACCATTGGGCAAAGAGTACATGCACACAATGAATTGAAGGCAATCTGGGCATGTTTTTGGGGATTTTTTTGGTCCAAGTGAGAAATGACTCGTTCGGAAGTCTAACACATGAAGAAATTTAAGGAAAAGATGGTGAAGATGTGTTGGAGAGGCCAACGAAGCCCCGGTCTTGACTGGGAATCACTCCTGAAGTTTTCAGCGGGATGTTTATATCGATGGGAATGCAATGCAATCAAACGAAAACCGATTTGTGTGGCTTCTCTCTCTCTCTTGCTTAAGCATTCACACACACACACACACACACACACACACACACACACACACACACGCATGCACACACTCCCGGGCAGACACACAAAGCGCTTTTATATGAAGGGGGCGCGGAAAACAAAGCCAGCATTGAAGACAGAGAACAAGACCCTGTGACAAAGATTGAAGGGGGCTGAGGACCGATCAACATGGGGTGTCAACCAGACCTCCTCCAATAGACTAACCACCGTGTTCAGCCCTTTCTTCTTCCTCTTCCTCATCCTCATCCTCTTATTTTTAAGATCAGCCGATGGACATTTCGTTTTGCCTGGTGACAAAGTGTTCTTCCTTCTATCTTTAACTGGACGGAGAGCTGGACACCCCTGCTTTGAATCCACTTGACTGAGGTACCATTTCCACACAATAAGATCATACTCTTGACTCACT